AAGTAACATTAATGGAAAGAGAGTAAGATGCATTAAAAAAAAATGATGTTTCAAAAGAATAAATAAACATACCAATATTAAGAGGTGCATCCGAAAATTTCACTTCTGATATCGGACTAACGGTTCCATAATATTCTTGAAAGAATAAGAAATTATCACGACAATATGCAATCTGTTTATAATCAGATAATCCAACAATAACTGCATTTTCTGTTCTCGAACCAACATCAAATAATTTTTTCACATTCACTACATCTTCCTAAAAGCTTTTTCACAATATTTTAACTTTAACGAATTGGGGACTGAAATTTTTATTATAACTTATCATTGCAGATCCTTGAATATAAGTATTGTCTCATATTTTCCAAACAATTGCAACTTGAATCATACCTTAATCGGAAAGACAGTCATATAGTAATATTCGTTTTGTACGGCTACTGATATAATAGGACCACACCAAACCATATAGTTCACTGAATCCGGAAAAAAGGCTGCAAAATGAAATCAGTACATGCAAATGAAAATATAAGATGCAGGTTTTCTTTAATGTTATAAAAGTCAAAGAAGAATAAATTACCCAATGACATTTCAAAATTCATCTTAATAAATTCATCAACAAGCCATTTATAAAGGAATATTTTTTTCCTTGCACTTACAGCTACATATAACATTCCATCAACCTGTAAATTTTTCAACAATTGCTTCATTGAAAAGAACAAAATATCGATCAATCATTTCTGTTCCATTTAATTATACTAAATTATATTTCATTTAATTATTAAACTATATAACCTGTAGTGTGATATTCAATAAGGTTAGTTTCACTTTTTAAAAATAACCAAATGTTACAACCAAATTTTATAACTTCAAAGATATAATTTTTTAGTGGACAATGAGAAAAGAAAATATACCTCTGATACACCGGCGCAAAAAGCAGATATAGGCCTAACATCGGAAATAAGTGCTTTTAGGGCAAATGGATGGGAAAGATCATGCGCGGCAAGCTGTGAATCAGTTAAACATAGTAGTATGTCATGCCTTTCAATGCAACATAATTCATTTACTGCCTTCTTTTCGAAAGAACGACAAATCGACAAATCGTATCCACGCTTACCTGTAATCAACACAGTTTTCACAGAACGGCGATACTTTAAAACAATTCAAAAAAAAAACACTCTAATATTACTTTTACTTTCTTAAAAATTTATTGCTGTATTGTATAAATTACATACTGCTATATTATGCATTATAATTTACAGTTAATAAACATTTTAATACATTTCTGTTTCAAAAAAAGAATAAGAAAAACATGAAAAATAAACAAACCTTCACGAATTCCATTTAATGCCAACAAATAACCGGCTTTACTTCCAACATAAACTTTAGCGGCATGACCTAAAATGCTTAATTTAGATAATATTAAATTGCAACTAAATAATTAAACTGATAGGAGAAAATATTCTGAGGATTTTTATTCCAACTCTTTTCTATGCAAATCTTTTAAGCTTATTATTTAAATTATAGAAAAAAAAAAAAAAAAAAAAGCAACCAATAAAATAAATTAACCATGAGCAACCAATGATGATACATCAATTGATTTCTCTAGTCTGGTAGCTATCTCTGTTGGCGCATACGCTTCGAACATTTTTTTTTTAAAAAATTGCCATTTTCTTTTTCATTACATATTGATATTTTAGAGATTACAATAATAATAGTAATAATAATAATAATCCATCCAAATAATTCTGTATTTTAATCAATTATAAAATGTTTATCAATTTGTACATGATAATCAGCTAATTTTTCAAACATATCAAACAATCAAATAACTAACTAACTTTATCAAATGCTCATGCAATTAATTAATTCATTTATCAATTAACCAAATAATTGAATAAATGAATTATTAAGCAAATAAGTTGTTGCATATTATTAAACAATTGAATTTCGATTTTTAGTTAATTAAGAATTCAGTTATTAAGTAATTGAGTACAAATCAAATATTATGTATTTCCTCCAACATATACAACAAAGTACTTCAAACTTATGCGAATTCAATCTAGTCACGCTGATAACGTTTAAAATGATTCCACACTCCTGCCTACTGAGATTCACGGGCCGCAAATACTTACGTGAATTACGGCAGGAATATTTGTTTAAGTCGAGAAGCGTGCAGGCATGCGCTTGCAGGGTGTCTACTGATAACGCTTAGTGATTTGCTAGAAATTTTATTAATTTTCAATATGAATATTCCTATATATTTAACTATTATTTTGCTAACATATTTTTGTTAATTTATTATAAATTTCAATTTTTTTTTGCATTTCAAATATTACTTTGATATTTTTTTTTTTTGTGGCAATTTTTCTTCAGCAAATTAATATTCATTTATTTTATCAGCTAATCATTCATTAAATGATCTGCTAATTATTCCTTTATTGAAAAATGAAAAGACTAAATTTGATTTATGATACGATGTAATGATAAGCATTATTAATTAGCTAAATTGTGAATTAGTTAATAATTGGTAATGTAAGTTAGCTGAATAAAATGTAAAATGAATATTCATCTAGTAATAGATGACAATTAAGCAGGATCCATATAATGCATCAATGGATAAAATAATAATCATCGTGAAAAATATTTATATTATGCCGTGATGAAAATTAGAAAACTTAATTTTATCAATTTTGAAAAATTGCTTTTTTTGCAGGATAATGGCAGATCCTACACTTTTAAGAGATATATCAATTAAGACAGGTGTCGTGAAACGACTGGTAAAAGAATTATGTTATTATGAGAAAGAAGAAGAAAAGTCAGTGATCAAATTGCAAGCAATGCAAGGTAGTAGCGATGCTGATGAACATGTTGTTAAGAAACAAATTGAATTAATTCAGGTCATATTTTGGGGTTATTTTGGATTTTTTCTTCCAAGTACTTAAAGTTTAACATTAAACTGAGAGTCATGATTATGTTGAAGTAAAATGTTGTATGAGAAAAGAAGTGCTTAAGCTTTTTTAAGGAAACGAAACAAATGATACCAGAATGTGCCCGACGGTTGATGAATTCAGTTGAAAGTTTGAAAAAGGTTTGGATTAAAAATTTTCCGACATAACATGACCTTTTTTTCTTTACTTCCTCTATTGAAAGAGCTTTAGCTAGTAATTGATTGATATTAACAACGAAATCAAAAATTGATTATTGATTTGTCTTAATTACTTTAAGATACTCATGAATTACATCTTTGTAATGATTAGGTCTGGTTAGGTATTTTATTTCGCTGCATCATGATTTATGTGCTAGGTTACTGATAGGGAAATCTTTATTTTTTATTATCCACAGTGGCAGGTAAAAGGTAATTAACTATTATAATATCATTAAATAAGTGATTTTTTCAGTTTATTCTTCTTTTCTGAATAGATTATTTTCTATGCTTTATGCAAAATTAGCTTCTATTTCAGGTGATTAGTGAGCATGAAGCGATATTACAAAATACACCAGAATATATTGCTGCTACAGAGCAAATTAAAAGTGGTACAGAAGAATACTTAAAGATTAAAGAAGCAACACGGGAAGGTTGAAGGAATGGAAAATCCTTCTTTGTTTTCTCGTTGATAATATGGTAATTTTGATTTTTTAATAATTATAAAGCTGCCAACTACGCTTATTCAACGTAACATTGCGGCTTACTTTGCAACATTCCTTTCTGCATCACATTATTGGATATTATCCATTTCTCGTGAACGACTTCGAAACACTCCACGTATGGACAGCAGCTGCTTCAATTTCTTCTTCAGTTGATCTCTATTTTGAAACATGAAGGGTAATTATTGCATATAATTGGAAAATATTGGATATTTCCTCTGGTTTTTTTTTTTTTTTTTTGTTTTTGTTTCACACATTGAATATTGTGCGAGCAGCTCAAAGGATGCTAACTTTGATTTTGTTATTGTTTGTGAGGTAGAATTGATATTTAATTCCATTTCTATGTCACAAATTTTAATTTGGTTCTTGAGAAGACTAAAAAGTTTTTTTTTTTTTTTTTAATAGAGTGATCAAATATTCTTTATCAGAGTAATCATCCAGCAATTGTCAATGTTACTTTGGTAGCTTTGCCTTTCTTTCCTATTTCTTTTGCTTGTTGCAAAAATATAGAGCTTGGTAAATAATAAAATTCAATAATGATATTTGTTCCATCTGCATCTCATTCAAAGTTACAAGAGATCATTTTACTTTATTGTTGTAATTTCCCATATATTATGAAAATGATAACAATAATGAATTATGATAGGAAGTATTCAAGTGAAGAGATTAGACTAGAAGTATTTTATGAGTTCTTTAGGTTTTTCTTATTAGATGTACCCTTTGTTGGATTTCTTGAAAATTATTACAATAACATAGGTGACAAGTTATTACTTCAAGAGTAAAAGTATTACATCATTAACAAAATTGATATACGCTATTTTCTACAAAAATTTTATGGATTTAAATGTTTAAAGGCGAATTCAATGATTTTAATTGTTGAAATCTAATATTGTTCCCGACCAGAATTAATTAGTTAGGATTGCATTAATTTTACATTTTTTTCCGGTAAAGTTGGATATTTTCGTAGAATCAGTATTAATGAATTATTTTTGAATAAATAACAAATGGAATTCCATGTCTGATGCTGTATTTTGACAACAAAAAAAAAGTAAAACAAAATTGATATATAACTTTATTTTTATATACAAAATAATAAATGGCATAATGAGGATGAGAATTATCAACAAGTGAAATTCACTAATCACTTGATAATTGGTAATTATAAAAAGCATTAATTTTACTCTATCCATTAGTTATTTATGAAGTTAAATTATATCTTAGTTACTAATAAATTAATATTCTCTTTTCTTTTTCTCCAACTAATTGATAAATTTAATCAATCAATAGCATTAATTATTCTTCTATCAATAATTACTAAAACAATTATTGATAGTTTTTTTTTTTTTGCAAGTTATTTACTTTTTTATTGACTTATTATCATCAATATCAACATCAACATCAACATCAACATCATCATCATCATCAATTAGAATAATAGATCCTCGATGACCCACATTATTGATAATTTTAGTATGAAATGATTGTGGTAGTAACAGTGTTGAATTTACAGATAGATTATCATTATTATTATCAGCATTATCATTTGTTAATGCTTCATTCTGATTTATTACACATTCTGTTTCATTATTATTTGTTGATAATAGCAAATCTGTTTCTTCTTCTGCTAATATTTCAAAATTTAATTCTTTATTTCCAATATTTTTATTGTTTAATAATGAAAAATTTCCATGTTTTTCATGTTTTTTTCGTATTTTTTCAATATCATTTTTCATCTGTATTGGAGCTGAGAAAGTACGTTTATTAATTAAATGTATTGGATTGGATATTTTACCAGTTGATTGTCGTCTTGTTGTACTATTTACCTCATTAAAAGGTGGTATTTCTTCCTGAAATTTACTTTAATTTTAATGTATTATTCAAGACACATTGAAGTTTAATAATTAAATTAATCATCAATGTTTTTTATTTTTTATTTTTTTGCTTATTAAAGTTTTATTAAAATTAATCATTAAAAGGTGTGATATTTAATAATATGAAAATTTTTTGTTTTTGATTTAGCTTATAAATCATTTTCGAACCTTTCATCTCTTTTTGTTCTTTTTTTTTTTTTTTTTATTCTTAGATGTTAGAAAGAATATTAAAGCTATAGATAAAAAAATAATGTTATTATAATCTTTTAAGGTTTAAAATGAAAACAGAGAAAAATTTACTGTTGAGTATGAAATTATAATGAATTAGGGTGAAGTTAAAAGAAAAAATAAAAGAAAAACAAAATGAACCTTTCTAGATTTATATAAATTTACCATTTAATTTTATTAGTACAATATGTTAGAGTAAAGAATAAAATAAAATAAGAAAAGGTCATTACAGAAAATAATTCATTTCTTCTTCTTTTTTGTTTATTTTTTTGCTAAATAACACTTTTTTTAATGATGAAAAAGGAAAAACAAGTTTTTTTCTTTTCTTTTTTTTTAAAAAAAGAAAACTCTTTGAGTTTTTTTTCAAAAATGCTTCATTTAATTATTTAACATAAACAAACAATGCCTTTAAAAAAAAAAAAATTGATTCGTAAAATATAATTTTCTTTTTTTAATTAATTAATTAATTAACTAATTGATCTCTTTTTTCAATCAAATAGATGGACGATGAAAAAAGAAGAAAGAAAAAACTAAAAGATTAAAATTATTTCTTCCATTTAATCAATCAATTAATTAACCAATCATTTATATCTTTTCAATATACTTTGTCTTTCCATCAAAAAAAAAAAAAAAAAAAAAGGAAAAATCAATTGTTAATTAATTTAATAAGATAACAAACTTCATAACTAAAATAATAAATCAATTATTAATTCAAAATGCTAAAAAGTTTCATAAATTACTTAAATAATTAATTATTAATTTAATAAAGTAACGAATTTCAACAAACTTACCGAAACACCAACAGCTAAATTAAGAGAATATTGACGGTTAATTGGTGCTTTTGCTACTTTTGATGGATTTTCATTTGTTTTTACTTTGAATTCCGGTGAACGATTCAAATTTGCAAAATCACCGATCATATTGATCAATTCATCATCAATTTTAAAGGCCATTCCTTCATAGAATCTTAATTTTTCATTCAATAAAATAATCTGAAAAAAAATGAAAAGACAAAAATTCATTTCAGAATTTTTTTAAATGAAAAAAATTTTCGAGTATTTGCAGAAAAATTTTTCAATTCTACTAAAATTGTGCCACTCTTCTAATGGTATGATATGGTTATAAATCTTTTTGCTTAAAGTGTTTGAAAAGTTTGAAATTTAAAAGAAAATTATGCAATTCTCATCCATAATTTGAAAAAAAGTGAAAATTTTAACTGAAACTAATTTTAACTCAAAAATATCGAAATTATCGATTAGAACTTGAAATTTAATTATTAAGAAATTTTCGTTTTTATCTAGATTTTGAAATTTCAACTTTAATTACTTGATGGAGCATATATTAGAAAATTGAAGGAAAAAAAAAAGAATCTAACCAAAGTAAAGCATAAATGAAACAATTTTTATTTTTGTCAATTGCATTAAAATTTACAAACATTGAAATACTTTATCAAACTTTAATTTTAATCATTTGAAAGAAAAACTAAAATTTAAATTTTGGATCAGTTTAATTACTCAATAATATACATTGAATTTAAAATTCAAATTTTTGTTAAATATTTAAATTAACATATTTGAAAAAGAGAGAAAGAAATAAAAGTTCTCAATCTAATATAAACAAAAAACAAAAACAAAATTCAACAATGTAAAACGATTCACAAAAATGATATAATTAAAAAATAAAATTAAGAAAAAAAAAAAAGAATGGAAAAAGGGACAAAGAATGAAAGAAGAAATGTTCTTTCTTTTTCTTTTTTTTTTTTTAAAGAAAAATGAACATAAAAAGTGAATGATTTAATAAGTGACATTGACATTTTCCTATCGTTTTTCTTTCTTTGCGATATTTTCATTGTAATCTTTGATGTTTTAATTACTACAAATTCTATTATATTCTCATATTCTCTTCAATTCACTTACTACTATACTCCACCTTAATTTGATTTATATTTGAAAAAAAAGAAAAGAAAAGAAAAAAAAATACCCAAAGAAAAAATTCACGCACTTTTACAATTTTTTTTCTTTTTTTTTGAAAATAAAATTAATTTTATTTATTTATTAGTTTTGTCAAATTCATTAGCATTTTTTTTTTCTTTCTTTCTTTTTCGTTATGTTATAATAAAATATAATGTAATAATTTGTGAATATAAGTTAATAGAATTCTAATAGAATTCTACTATTTATAATTAATTATTTAATTTAAAATAAAATAATTAAAATAAAATAAAATAATTTAAAATATAGCAATTTTTCTTTTTGAAGAGTAAAGTCTTGAAATTATTAATTAATTAATTAATTAAAATACCAAGGAAAGAGGAATTAATAATTAAGACAGATGTAAAAAGAGAATAACTATTAAACTTACGAAAAAAGAAAACGAAAGAAAGAAATAAAAAACGAAGCAAAAAATTAAATAATGAACTTTTTTTTTCTATAAATATTCAAAACAGATAAGAACTGTTAAATGCTATTATCATTCGATTATCAGTAAATTCAGTTCACTCAATACTTCTATCAATTTTACTAAAAAAATTTTTACAAATAAATCAAAATTTCATTCTTATCTTTCAAATTAATAATTATATTTAATTCACAAAGAATTATCCATTAATTGCGATAAATATTTCATGATTCTGTATAACAAAAAGAAATGAAAACGATAGATTTTAATTTAATCTAATTTTCAATTTAGTTTAATCTTGTTCAATTAATTAAATTTAAATTTAATTTAACATAGTCAAATATCAATTTAATATTTTAATATTAAATTTCACAGTTTTATTGATAGTTGCATTACTATGATAACATAATCGAAAAAAAATTTGGCTGATCACTGAAATTGTAAAAATTCTGATCTTTTCATTTTAATTGTAGGAAACAAATATGAATTAAATATAAATCAAAATTATTGAAGTTAAATCAACTGAAAACTTTGCAAAGTAAAGATACATTATTGTAAAAGTACATGGATGATATATTTGTTTTAATACTTAAAAGAAAATAAAGCTAAATTTAGGATAAAGTTTGAGAAATAGTCATTGTTCTTGTTGAAATATAAATTTAGTAAGAGTTTCGGAATCAAATTTTATCATTCATAAGTAAAAAAGGGCGCAAAAAACATTTTCATCTATGAATATTATTTTCAAAAATAATAATTTTCAGAAAAAAAAAAGAGAGAAGTACATGAAATGGTGTAATTCTAAACTAAATCAACAATCGGAAATAGTTTTAAACTAAACAAAGAATCAGAAATGGTATAATCCTCGCTTCAATCAAAAATCGGAAATGATATAAATTTAAAATAAAGTAATTATTGGAGAATAAACAATTAAATATAATTTCTTATTCCAATGCAGTACAATCCAATTAATTTATATTATTTATCTGATAAATATTACATTTCAAAAGTTTGAAAATTTCATAGTTCGACAATTACAATTGTGATAAAATATTATAATAATATCATTGTTATCATCCATGTTTATATTTTATATTCAAACTAATTAATTAATTAATAATGTTAGAGTTATACTACCATCTCAACAAGAATTCTAGAATTACTTAAATTAAAAGAAAAATATAAACTAAGAAAACGAAAATTAAAAAAAAATCAAAACCATCCTTAAACCAAAATTTAGAAAAAAAGGTGAATTTTATGAGAATTAGTAAAATGTGAAAGAAAAAACCAAAACTATTAACAATTAATAAAATTCACTTTTTTTTTCTTAGAAAAATGGAATTAATTTGAATATTAACAGTTAAGGAAAAATAAAATAAATAGAATAAAAAAAAAAAAAGAAAAACTTTAAAGTATTCTCACAAACACATCATTCATGTTTATATTTTATATTCAAATTAATTAATTTCATTTTTTTCAGATCATTGAAATTTTATTTTCATTTTTTTAAAATGATTTACGCAAAGTTACTTTAAGCCAAGTTTTACTTCTAGCCAAGACTGAAAAGACTACTTGTAATGGCCAATTGTTGTTGTAATATGAAATGAAATTGGGACAAATCAAGAAATAACGGACCGTTGAGACGTCCGAGCGACACTTTTAGATATTGTTTAGCGCTGTTTGTCCGTGGTACGGTCGTTTCAGGATTCGCTTCAGGTTATGGAATTTACTGAAGTAAGAGTCTGAGAGTTACTGGGAAGTGGTATCTTGGAAGATGTCGAGAACTTGAGTGTATTTGTGTGGTATTGAAAGGAGGTTTTAGGAATTTCGTAGAGAAAATTAGATGGTTGTGGGGAGAATTTAGCTAAATATTATTTGAATTGATTACAGTGTGATAGTAACTGAAAAGGTCACATAGTAGAAGTTATTGTTTGATTCAAAGGTCATAGAAAGGTGAATTCATTGCAAAATGTGATAGTTAGGTAGATAGCACGGTAGAAGTTATCATTATGTTTGTAAGTTACAAGACCTCTGTGATTATTTTAGATCATCTAAATTTGGTTAAGATTTATAGTGATATCGAATGACTCTTTCTTAATAACTTTATTTTGAATTGAGATTTTTTTCCATGATTTTTCCCTCAGTTTAGTAATCTTGTTGTTTGTTTTTTAGTATATGTTTTCATACAAAGAATTATTAATTTTTTTGAATAAGTGGAGTTACGAAAGAGTGTGAAATGGATGTATTTGATGCCTTGCAAATTTTTTTTTTTCGGGTTTTACTTTTCAAATTTCTTATTATTGAGGTTTAGAAGCATAACAAAAGTCAACGATTTTGATAGAGGAGATTATTTCACAATTTTTTTTTCTTTTTGGTTTAAAAGAATGTTTCTTGAAGCACTTTTTTTTTCCTTATTTTCATGCAGAAATTCGTATTTCATCGCTTTGCAAATATGAGAGATAGTCACGCTGCTGCTGCTGCCGCTGCTGCCGGTGGAAGTAATGTAGGTGGTAGAGGTGGAAATAGTAGTGAAGTGGAAACCGATGAGGATACTGTTATTGTACAGGCTATTTTGAATACAACACGAATTCAGAGTGATATTCTTCGTCGTCTAGATACTGTTGAGGTAGAGTGAATTTTTTTAAACAACATAAACAGGTCTCAGCTAATTAATAAAGCTTTCAGTATTAATATTTACATGCTTGGTTGGTTTGAGATAATTTGGTTAGCATTTTTGGTAACTTGATTACCATTTTATTTACTAGATCGATGATCTAGTTGTGTTGAGTTTTATTCCGAATATTTATGTAGTCATTTTTCGCATAGCTTAGTGGTGATTCCTGATAAATTTCTTTTTCATTATTACAAGTTTCGATAACAGACATGAATTTTGTTGGGGTGCTAAATTTTTCTAAATCATTTTGAGAAGAGGTAGTTATTGAATTTCGGATGGTGTAGTTTCGACAAAATCTGTTATTATAGGCTATACAGAAGATGATTTTGGAAGAGTTGCGACGTGGTCAAGCTCAAGCAAACGAACGTTTTATTGATATTCTGGATAAGGTATTTTTGAGCATTTCTTTTTGCTAGTTTTTTTTTTTTTTATGCTGTCTTATTTAATGCAAAAACTGATATCCCATATATTTTGAGCGAGGAATCATCTAGTTCTGTCGAGCTAGAGATAAGATTTTTATAGATTCGAAATTTAATTTTAGCGTCAAAGAGAAGAGGTTGATCGTCTGATGAATATGGTTGCCATGCTGAAAGTATCAAACACAGGAGATTCATATGCAAACTTGCAACGCTCAGACCTTCGTCCAGGCAAGTTTTTCAGTGCATTAGTTGTAATATTCTGCATATATTTTGGTTTATATTGGGATGGTAATCAATTAAAGTAATAACTGTTTTTCTTTTTTCTACATGCTTTTATTAGCGCAAAATTATATTTTAAATTGAATTTTATTTCATCTTCATTTTATAAAATTAGATGTGTTTTACTAAGGTTAAAGTTTTCCGGAAATGAGATACAGGATTCTAATGTTTAATTTACATTGTATGGTCGTTATAATACTGTTATGTGTGACCATGGCGTTGTACTTTGTCTATTTTGATTTTAACAAAGCTTTGTTCAAGCCTGTTGAACATACGTTCGGTTTTTTTAATTTTTCCAAATCTTCGGATTATTTTTGCTTATACTAGAATAGTAATCAGTAATGAAGTGATAAGTTGATTCTGTGAGAGAATCTGTGAGCTTTTTCACTTATCAGTGCAACTGTTTCCTAAATATTCTTAAATTTTTAGCCATGGCATCATCTGTATCGGCCCTTGGTTACGCATCACCACAAACAACGTTTGCACGAGCTACTTCACCTCGCTCATTTTTTGGTGTAACTCCGTCAGCGGATAATACTCAACAACAAGTCATTCCTCAACAATTTTCTAATCATGTTCTTGAACAACAACTGCAGTTTGCTGCACAACAACAGCGTGCTATGGTATGATTCTTTTATGTAGTAATTTCATTTTCTTTTTATTTTTTAATTAATATGAATTGGCTGCGTAGCGTTACGATGTTAATTTAAAAATTTTCCGAGTCATTTCTTTATTTTCCTAATTAGACTTTTCATCATTTCGATTCAGTTATTTATAGTTAATCTAGTTCTGTAATGGGAGACGCCACTTTGATTTCCTCGGTTAATCTAAAATGTCATTCATTTCTTCTTCATGTTGGATATTTTCAATTATTTTTTTCTTGTTTTATTTATTGGAAAATATGTACGAAATATCGGGATGAATACAAATAAAAATTTTTGAGGCTTCAATGTATGGGTCGCAGCAGACAGCAATAGTTCCTAATGCGTTCACTCATCCTCAGATGCCTGTGGCTTCAACTGGGTATGAAGTTTTTACAATTTGTGATTGGCGAGAAGAAGAAGGTTGAGAAGGGAAGGATATTTTTAGGGAGAGAGAAAAGTGGAGGGTATTTGTTTTTTTTTTTTTTTTTTTGTACGAAGAAATTAATAATGAAAGTTAAGTGGGTGAGCTATACTTCTGCCACCATTTGCCTAAAATAATTGGCCAAATGATGGCAGAGGATTATTTGCTTGAGGTGCTTGCAGTTAAGGAATTATGGCTTAGTTGAGATTGAGGGAAATGAACTATTCTTTGAGAATGTAAATTTGCAATAAGTGCGGTTTACAGAAATAGATCATACACACTTGCAACATTTTGAAAATTGATCTACTCTATACTTATTTTTACTTCCTATTTAGGTTTTGTACCGGCGCACCTTTTTCATTCCAACAGACAACTATGTTTCCAAATGCAATGGCGACCCATTTGCAGCAACAGCCTGTTTTACAATCCTCAGTTACTTCATCAATTGTAATAGACAACACAAAAAGTTAGAAATAGCTAATTCCAGTTTGCAATCATGAAAATATTTTATCAGTAAATCAGATGGAAAAAATAAAGTTAATTGTGGTACGCAGAAATGTAATGTAAAATTAAAATATTTAAACATTAATCCAGTTTGTTGCTATATACATACTCATTCGGCTTAAATTTTTTTTCAGCCTCCTAGTTAATGGCATAGGTAAACTGATCATGGATACAATCTTTGAATTACAATCATCAGTTGGATTAAATGACTTAAGAAATTCTAATATGATATTAGTTAGCACTACAATCTACTCAGCCGATAGTTTGTAAAAAAAAAAGAAACATGTCTTTCCATTTTACTGATGCATTGATTGGATTATAAACAATCGAAGTAACAATTTCTTTTTGGTCGCAAAATCTTTCGCATCTTTTTTTTTTAATTCTATAATATTATAGCTGTATCAAATACATCAGCTGCTATGACAAAACCAGCTTCAGCTACAACTCCAATAGCTACATCTAAAGAGGTACCATCGCAACAAGTACAGTCACAAGCAGTTTTGGGAAATCAAATAAAAACGAGCGCGCCTTTCACATTTGGAGCTTCCGTCAAACGTAGGCTTATACTTTTATGTGTGTGTTTTATGTTACTAAACAATCTTTATTGCAATTTTGTACCAATTAAAGTGTTGATTATATTCCTGTGTATTTGATATCTTCATATGCCTAGAATTTCAGAAGGAGTCTCAACAGTGGCAACTACTGCGGTTACAACTACTTCAGTTCTGGCTAAACCGTTTTCTGCAGGAACGATAACAACTAGCAATACTTCTTCGGGCTCATTTGCAAATTTGTTTTCTTCACCGAAAGCTACTCAGATAGAAGCTGAAAAGAAGGATGACTGGGAGAATAGTTTACCGAAAAATGCTGGTAGTGAAGCTTTAACAAAGAATGAATCAGCAGGTAAAATTAGTGGATGACTTTTAAAAACTTGTGTTCTGATTTGTTACATTTTTTTATATTTTCGTATTTCGTATTTTTGATAATTATTTCTGTGGAAAAAGTAAGAATGCTTGTAAAAGAGGAAAGTTTCTTGTAGGTGATGATGACGAAGCACCGGAACATTTTGAGCCATCTATTCATTTTGAGCCTATTGTTCCACTGCCAGAACTTGTTGAGCTAACAACAGGCGAGGAAAATGAAGTAGTAAGTTATCTTTTCAGTAATTCCTTGATCTTGCAGAATAAACATTGTAATTGTTCTGTATTTAAATCGTCTATCTAGCATAAAAAAAAGAAAAAAAAACTTTTTATAGTTTTTTATATTTTCATATTTCTATGAAATAGGATAGAAAAAGGCAAAGGAGGGCACTTTTAATGTGCTTGAAGAATTGATGTAAATGTCAACGATTTCATAAAATTTCTGCAGGTTAAATTTGCTGGACGATGTCGGTTATTCCGATTTGTTGACAATGAATACAAGGAGCGAGGCATCGGGATGTTAAAAATTCTAGAAAATCCAAAAACAAAAATATGTCGTATAGTTATGCGCCGTGATCAAGTTCACAAGGTGATTGCTTTATTTAATTGTGCACTTTTTTATACTCACCACTCTTCCATAATTAAAATCAAGATACTTTTTTTTTGCTTTTGTCTTTAGATATTCTCCCATTTTTCTTACCCAATTTTCATCCCTGATTTCTCTGAGTTCTACTATGCCAATTTGATGTTTTTTATAAGAGATCACCAAGTCGACTATTGTGAATCAACAGTCGAGATATTACAGCATACCTTTTCTGATTAATTGGAGAAAACACTAATGGGATGTAGAAAATACCTAATTTGATGTTTAATTTCAATTGCATAACATCTATAATAATTTAGGTTTGTGCTAATCATACAATTCAAGCAACAATGAATTTAACACCACTGCAAAAATCTGATCGAGCATTTGTATGGCTTGCACAAGATTTCGCAGAGGAAGAAAAGATGGAAAAATTTGCTGCTCGTTTTAAAACAGTTGAAATTGCGAAGAATTTTGAAGCTATGTTCAATGCTGCTCGAGATGCAGCATCATCAGCAGATAATAAAGGTGATTTTGTCAATTTGTCTTCTCTCTTTCATAGAAAATATGCATAGATATATATTCGAGAAACTTTCAATTAACGAAATGCTTGTTTTAATCAAATTTCCAAAATCTTAGGAGGAACAGTTAAGACAATATCCTGTGACAAGGAAGAGAGAAAAGAGCTGAAAGGAAGCGAAGGAGAAAAGAATGATAGTATGAAAGGCTTTGGTGATGCGTTCAAACCACCAGCAGGAAGGTACTTTTGCTGTTTTTTCTTGAATGTTTTCTAGTTTATAATTTTAAGAATAACGAATACTTCGACATTATATTATTCTTGCATATATGTTTACTTTAGAAGTTGTAAGCTCAGTTTTCCTCATTTTTAGTTGGTCATGTAGCGCTTGCTACATATCAAATACAGTAAATGCAACTGTCTGTATATGTTGTGGGGCAGCTAAAGATGGCGGTAGTGATTCCACTTCAGCTTCTTCAGTCTTTTCAAGGTATATAATTTTGGATATCTATAGTTATAGTTTTTTTTTTTGAAGGCACTTTATTCTTTAATTATTACTAGGTAGTTATTGCTGTCCTAAAATCGAAGATTTGAGTATAATATATTTCAGCAAACCGACATCAACAGTTGCACCGATTAAGGGTAGCAGTGGAATCACATTTGGTTTTCGCGGTGATAGCTCACCTGCAAACGTCACTACCACAGCTGCAACATTTAATAGGTATTTGCAGATTACTTATTTTCCTTTTTCTTTAGTAATTTATTACATATTTCTTAAATTTGTGTATATACATTGATATATCAGTAATAACTTTACAGTGGATTGCCTACGTTCAGCTTCAAGCCAGCGACAACTACGACTGCATCTGCAAATGTTACTACATCAGCTGCACAACCGTTGTTTAGTAGCTTTGTTTCTCGACCTATGACAACAACCACAACTACTGCAAGTTCTGTTTTCCAGTCGGTTACGACAACGACTACTGCAACCACAAATGCTTCGTCAGCTCCAAGTGTGCCTAATTTCAGTTTTAAATTTACTCCATCCAACTCTACTGCATTCGGTGGCCCACCATGTTTTGGGACGAAATCACCTTCAACCACTTCAAGCACAGCAGAAAGTAAAACTTTTTAAAGTACTTATTTACATACTATTAATTTTGCTTATTGGATTGGATGAGCTATAAAATTTGTATTTGTTGGAAAGAAAAATGATTTTTGAATTCTTATCGTTTATGCTAGTTTTTCACTGTCTTTGATCAATGATATATGATATTTCAGCAAACGAAAGCACTACCGTGAATACGAAATCATCCCTTTTTGGTAGTTCTGCATTTAGTAAGTATTCTTTCAATATAGTTTCAATAGATTGCAAAATTTCGAATATTTTAGTTCGAATTGTTCCTGATTTTTATCTGCTTTTAGCTGCAGTTTGCTTTTTTATTCCCTTCTTTCCTTGTTTTACAAATATTTTTAAAAGGGAAATCTGAAACGTAATACAAAAAGAAAAATACAAAAAAAATATACTGCTATTACTTTCTATAATCAAACTTGCTGTTAACACGGGCTATAAAATATTAAATTGTTAATCTGAAGATTATTTAAACCTAATTCTTCTCCTCTTACTATTAATTTGCATATTGCATATTCAGGTGGTGGCTCTGTCTTTGGTAAATCTTCTAGTGGCGGATTTGCTGCATTAGCAGCAAAAGCTAAATCTGAAACATCGGCAAAGTCTGCTGAAGGAAATAAAGTTATAACACCATTTGGAGGTGGCAAATTTGATACCTCTATGAATTCCGTAAGTTTCTAAAAAACTTTATCATTTTTACATGTAATTTTGTTATCTTTAAAAATAAAAATTGAAGGAACGCAGGGATAATAATGACAACTAATTAGAGGAACAAATGAGAAGCATTTTCAGATGCGTTTGTTTCAGTTGTGATTCGTGTCGAATGTTGTTTCAGATTTTCTCCTCCAACGCTAAGCAAAATACACCCAAAGAGAAGAATGAAGAGGGAGCAGAGGATAATTCAGATGATGCCGAGGAGTTTGAACCAAACGCACATTACGAACCAGTGGTTCCTTTGCCGTCACTTATAGAAGTGAAAACCGGTGAGGAAGGTGAACAGGTCAGTTTTTCTTTTCGTCTTATTTATTTTTCACTTTGATTCAGAAATAGCTTATCTATCACAGCTGGATATGATGAAAATTTTTATAATTATGAATTCCTTGTGTTTTCAGGTGATGTTCAAAGCTCGATCGAAACTGTATCGTTATGTAGCTGAAACGAAGGAATACAAAGAACGCGGCGTCGGTGATATCAAGGTTCGTTTCATTGTTAGACCTTAGCATACCAAACCATCTTTTATTGCCTTGCTGCTTATAGAAGTTTACAAAATAGGTTAGTGATTAGACGAAGGTTTTATTTGTAATATATAACTAAATATCCGGAAATTTTTCATGATTTCTAAATGTTGCATTCTAGAATGCAATTGCCTGGTGTAAATTCTTGAAAGAGAAAAACTGTTAATGATTGGATGAAGTGGTATAGTAATAATAATAATATTAAGAAAATTTTTATGATAGATTCTCTTCAATCCCGAAACAAAGCGATGCCGTATTGTTATGCGACGAGACCAAGTGCTAAAAGTCTGTGCCAATACACCTATAACGGATAGCTCAAGCATTAAGAAGAAACCGAATACCGACAATGCATGTATGTGGATGTGCAGGGTAATAATGGTTTTATTATATCAACTGGTAATTAGTGTCATATGTATTGTTTGCTGTTTTGCTAATACATATGGATATTTATGTTACTCTTTAGCATTAACTAGTGATTGTCCAGATAGTTAGGTCGAAGCTTTTTAAATATCATGTCATTGGTATAAATCCATTTTAGGATTACTCGGAGAAAAAAGAAGGTGTAAATGAATATTTCGTTGCTAAATTCAAGGATGCTAGTTTAGCAGATGAATTTATCCTTGCATTTCAAAATGCTGCAGCACGTAAATTTCCTCTTCAAGACCAGAAGAACGCTTCTGCAGCAGGTAAGCTGTTGTTGATTTTATTTGAACGTGACCATATTTGTGAGGTAATAATGTGGACCTAGAAAGAATACTTGCATGTATCGTTTGCCTTCTAAAAGGCTATTCAAAAAAATCCGATCGCAGTAAAAATATTTCTTTAAGAGGATGGCACTTCACCAAAAATTTCTGGTACATGCAAGAAATTGGAGGCATCTTTGTATAATACATCGCAGAAGCAAAATCGAAATGTTGGGAAAGGTAGTGAACACACCGGCGATAAATCTAAAAAGGATAGTGCCAATGTCGAAAATGACTATGATGATGGAGAAAATGATGGTGATGATGATGATGAATATGAAGAGCTCTCCACTCATAAAGTGAAAGCTACAATAAGCGAGGCGTATGCATCGCCACTGAAACCTGTAAGTTTATTTTTGCTAAATGAGTTTTGAAATCTATGTTCACTTCATCAAATTTTCAGAGCAAACCAGTTGAATTCACTGGATTTATTGCACTAGGATTGTTGGGCAGTGGACACATGAAAATTGATCTGTACAATGATGATGAACAAATACAATGGTCGCATGTAATCGAGTTGGAAGATGGTCTTTCCCGACAGGTAGGTTAAGTTATTTCGCTTGTTGACTGGAAAATTATTGAAAGAACTAGTTACAGTGTTTTAAACATGTCTTAGAATTTTGGAGTTTCAAGTAAAACATATGATTTACAGAATAAGAATCAAATTAAGTATGTTGCCATGGACGAAAAGTCGCAGAGTAAACAAGTAGTGTTGGAATTCACGAATGAGATGGAATGTGAAAAAGCTTATCTTGATCTCGAGGAGGTAACTTTTAATCGTTTCAAACTGTGTCTTTTCTTCTGCCAGACGGCTTAAGATTCCGAAAATTTTACGCATTTTTCTACTGAAAAACAATAAGAGAAAAATGATGGATAGCAATTTTAATCTTATGCAAGGATAGGAATAGGAAAGAATTAGAACAGAATGACTATAAGGAGTCATAAGGAATTTTGTTTCTAGATGACATTTCTTTTACTTGGCTGCAATGTTACATTTCCAACTTTCATAAATTCATTTCCTTTCAGGGAATACATCTTTTGAAAGAATATTCGGATCAGGAATAGTAAAAGAGAGATATTATAATGATTTTTTTTTTCTCTTGAATATTTCATCATTTGTGAAAATTGGACTGAAGTATTTGTATGATATGATATGCACCTGTTTTGATGCTTATAAATGAATGGACTGAGCAAATACTTCACATATCGCTTTTTTCCCCCAAATATGGTTTCATTTTTTAGATCAGTAGTACGTAAGTCATTGTCTGCAATACCATTACACTAAATAGACAGGATTTATTGAATCAATTGCAATTCCATGCATTGTTGAAATAGATTCGCCGAAGTTCAGTGAATTAGCCATATGTTTGATAAGTTCACGCAAGTTTCTGAATATTATTCCCAAAAATAAAAATTGGTATCTAATGGTGAAATTATATATTTGGAAGTGAAATTTATCGCTGAAAAGATTTTATAGGAAGTCTAAAATATAATTTTCTCAAAATCTTTTTTCTTTTTGATCATGTTCTTCCATAAGTCTAATCAAATTTGTTAATGCCATCAGAATAAAAGTTTGGAATAAAAAAAAAAGTATTCACATAGTAATGTCGAAGTGCAGGATTTTCAGTGATTTGACAAATGATGCTGGTTTGCTACTTTTGCAGTGAGAAGGTCCACCGCATGTGGTAATATCTTCTCTATCACTTCGAAACATTCCTGTAATGTTTATTTTCATTTATACTTGAAAATAATTAAAATACCTTTTTCACGTTTTATGCCTATTTAGTTGATTATTTGTAGTTCTTGGATTTAGGTTTAATAATATTTTAATTTCTTGATCATTATTATGAATTAAAGTGAGAAATGTAAAATGATATATTAGTTAAGTAGGAATAAGCTTACCTTAACAGCTTTTGGACTTCCGGGTAAGTTAACAATTAACGTAGAGCCACGAATACCTGCACATAGCCGTGATAATGCAGCAAATGGCGTAGCTTGCAATGAGCGCATGTGAAGTGCTGTTTCTATTCCGCCACATTTTTTTTCAATAACATTTTGTGTTGCCTGAAAGAAAACTGATATTAATCCAAATGATAATATTGATAATTGTCATTTTTTCTAAAGTAATTTAATTCATTAAGAAGGAGGAAAATTTCTTTTTTATAAATTTCCCATTGAACTTTTATTACATTGAATTTAAAAAAAAGAACTTACAATTTGAGTTGTTCTCAGGAATAAAAATATAAAAAATAAAGGTTAAGTAGGATGTAGAATTGAGTAAGAAACTAACTTCGGGTGTAACATCTCGTAGTGAAAAACCAGTTCCACCCGTTGATACAATCACATCTAAAGGATAACTTTTGAATACAAATTAAAGTAAGCCTAACTTTACAAAATCATACTATCTCTTCTTTTTTTTCGTATTTATCTAACTTTAGAAGCAATAAGGTGATAATTGATAAGTAAACGTCCGAGTTACTATCATCCCAAAGACGTTACTTAGTATTACTACAATAATTTATAGCAGAATTATCAAGAAGAATTATTTTGAAAGGATATGAAACATACCGAAAGTTTTGCATAAATTAATTAGCATATGCGCAATTTCTTCTTTCTCATCTGATACCAGGAAATTTTCCACATCCGAATTAGATAAGCTATATTTTTCAAAAAAAAAAGGAAAAAACTTTTTAAATTATCAAAGTTTAATTTTAACAATTTTTTTAAGGATAATTTTATATTCTTTAAAAACTAAAATTAGATATAAATGTAAAGTTAAGAAGATTGAAATTAATAAATTTCGATTTATTATTTCTGGTTTATATTTTAAAATAATTTAAACTAACATAATCGAATTAATTATTAATTGCCGTAAAATTGGACCACTAATATCCTCTCTTGTGCCATTCCAACAAGAATCACTCACTATAAATGACACAAAAAATATGAAAAAAGTATTATAAAATGAATTAAATCTAAATTTACAATTCAAATTAATCAGTATGAAATTAATCTCACATTACACTTTTTTGATTTATTTACAATAAATAATTTTTTCATTTCATTTTATATTTATTAATCTCATCAAAATATACAATAGATTGGTTAAATTTTTTTATTAATTTAAACTGAGAAAAGTTTATAATCTAAGTTCGAAATAAACATTAATAATTTCTTTTCCGGAATTCTTTATTTAAAATCTATTTAATTCCATCTAATATATTATAATTTAAATTTATTTTCACATAGAAAAAAAAAAGTAAAATCACACCTTTACGTGTTCCTTACTATCTATCTATTATACCTGTCCAATCAACAATCTATTTGATATTAATTTGTTAACTAAAAACTATTCTATATTGATCGATCGATCGATCAATCATAGCTATTTTACTCATTTCACCATTCTAATTTATCTGTCAATCGATATTATTTGAAATTTAATTTTTTTTTTCAAATTAATTAATTAGTTTTTTCTAAAAAAGAAAATACCTGTAAGTATAGCAATTCGCATATCGAATATTGCAACAAAATTAATTTTAATTAATTACTCGTTGATAAAATATCGATTCATTTTTCACGGCCATCGTTGAATGAAAACAACGAATGCGATATGATCGATCATTTGATGACTCATTATTTGATGACTTTTTGTGGTATTTATTTTCAATTCCTTTTTATTATTTCATTTCAGAAATTAATAATTAGACAAACAAAATTTAATTTAAAAAAAAAAAAAAACAAAGTTATAAATATTATTTACAAATAGGTTGAATTCTGCAAATGGTAATAATATATTATTGATAAAACATAGTGAATAAAAGTGAATTTAATTATTTTTTTTTAAATTGTTAGCAATTTAATTAGGCTTACATATGTTATATATTTTTTAGCATTCTGTAAAATATGAAATTTTTAAATTAATAAATTAATTTAATGGAAAATTTTTGCATTGCATATATTTCTCTGAAAATAGAAGAAATATAGAAGTGCTGCAAACTATTAAATTATTTCAAGAAATATTTTTGCTTTAAAAAAAAAAAAAAGATAACAAAGAAAATTGGGAATTTATCATTTTAAATGGGTTAAATTAAATTTAATTTTATCTTAAAAATTTTTACTCAAACGTATATATATATTACACTGATATGAAAATTTTTTTCTTAATGACAACTTATTTTTAATTCTTTTTCTTTAAATGTGTTGATTTACATAGAAGAAAGATTTATGATAAAGATTTATTGATTTGATTAAGGATTTATTCCAAATAAATATTATAAGAAAATTGTGACATAATTTCTATTAAAACTTTTGTACGAATTAGTTCTCTTCTACTCATAATATTATATAATAATCAGTTAATTTATATTAAGATAATTATTGGATAATATCAAGGATAGAGATAATCGATAAAAATTTGATTATTTATTAAATTAAATTTAGTAAATTAAAAAAAAAAGAAAAAATTAAAATACAATTTGAATATTTATAGATATTTATAACAAATAAACGATAAATGATATTCTTCGATTCTTTCATTTTATGGTAAATATTAATAAAAATTGAATTAAATCGATTCACCAAATGCATATAAATTTTCAAAAATTATAAATTAAAAGAACTTACGGATGAATTAGACAAATTATTTAAATAAAACTAAATTTTTATAATATAACAATACTTTTAACTATTTCAAGATATTTCTAAAATATTTCAATTCGTCTGATTTTATAATATCCGTCAATTATTCCTGATTCGCTTTATAACAGAAAAGAATATTTATTAGAATATTAAAGTTCCAATTAACAAATACTGCTAGAAATAAAATTTAAATTTGCTAAAATCCATAAAATATTTTATGAAATATTTCATTATAAAACAAAAACCAATATTCTTTTTAAGCATATATTTCTTCAATTTTTTATGCATAAATTTAAAAAAAAAAAGATTCTCTTCTTCACTTTAGAAATAATTTACATAAAAAAAAAGAGAAAAAATAATTCAAAATTAAATTTTACATATAAATCAGAGTTTTTTAAATTTATTATTTCATTAAATAAAATAAAAGGAATGATTTGGTGGTGGTGGGAATATTTTGAAGCATATGTTTCTTCAATTTTTTATGCATAAATTTAAAAAAAAAAAATTCTCTTCTTCACTTTAGAAATAATTTACATAAAAAAAGAGAAAAAATAATTCAAAATTAAATTTTACATATAAATAAGAGTTTTTTAAATTTATTATTTCATTAAATAAAATAAAAGGAATGATTTGGTGGTGGTGGGAATATTTTGAACGATGGCGTATTGATATAGCATATCGTTTGCTACGTTGTGTTTATAGTCATAAAGATTTTGAGCATCAATGGTATCCACAAATTTTAATTATGCAAATTGATGAAAATCCCGAATGGCTTGTTAATTGTCAAAAATTAATTGCTGTAGCAGAATGGATTAAAGATGGTGCAGCATCTAATATTGTTGCTGTATTATGTGAAGTGCTGTTGTTTTTTTGATATTTTTACACTTTTTTTTTTTTTTGCTAATTAATTTACATTTTATACTTTTTACTAAATTTATTTTTATTACTGAAAGATATATGTGTGTAAATAAATAAATTAAATGAATGAAAATAAGTTTAAATTTATTAAAAACTTGAATGAATGAAAATAAGTTTAAATTTATTAAAAACTTGAATACACTTCATAATATTTTACTAAAAAAGATAAAAAACCATATTTTAAGCACATATTTTTATTCTTTTTATGTACAAATACATTTAATTAGACTAGATAGATAAATTAAAAAAAAGGATTTAGAAAAAGATAATATTTTGAATAAAAACTTCCGTTTTATTTCATAACAAATTTCCGGTAGAAAATATTGTAAACAAGAATATTTCTTTACAGAATTTATTTTTAGTAATTTATAAATGAATATTTAGGAATTATGTTTACATTTTTATCAAAAACAAATGAAACGAGAATTAAGCAACTTTTTTAAATTTATCTAAAAAGATTGAAATAAAATTTTCAGGGACATACACAGGATCCAGATACCGGTGAA